TGCCCTCGTCTTGGTTTGCTCTTTGATTGACCCCCAGGCCGACACTCACCTGATGAGTTGGTCTCCTGCCTGGGCGCCTTCTGCCCTCTCACCCAACCGCAACTCGAGCCTCTTCGACCCCTGTCCCCCTCGTCGTGATCGCTCCTGGTCAAACGCTCAAACCGCCGAGCTACTCAAGTTCTCAATGAACCTCACCAACTTCGACCGTCACTCGCTTGGCACTTCGGTCCAGCTGCCCCCCATCTACGGTCCCATCGGTCTCAGGCGCTCTCCTCTACCTTCGTTTGCCGGACTCCCACCGATCGTCCCCAGCGCAATGGGCTGTCATCCTCCTTCGTTTGCTCGCAAGAGCAGTCACGCCGATTACCCCCTGTCGTCCGCTCGTCACAGTCTACCGTCCCCAATGGACTCGACCTACTTCTGCTCCCCAGCCGAAGCCGGCCCTAAGCCCAACCAACTCATCCGGCCATTTGACGAGCATCCCTATTCATCCCCCGTCCCATCTCCACACCCGGCACTCTGCTCACATCCAGCGTATTCAAGCAACCCACCGAAGCGCTCCAAAGCTGCCCTGGCCACCGAGGATTGGGATCATCCTAGCTTTGCAAGACCACCCCACCGAGCAGTGACCGAGCCCAAGCTCAGCAAGCTAGCCGACTTTTGGCGCCCCGCTGGAAGTCCAATGGACCTCAACCCAGCTCACCAAACCCCATCGGTCAAGAATCAAGCCCTGCCCATCAGTGATGAGCCACTTGTGCCAAATGTCTATCCGGTTCCTCCGCCCCCACCCTACGAGCAATCTGCGGCCCCGCTATCCGATTTGGCTGCAGACATCGTCTGGGAACGTTGTTACTTCCCCAAACCGAGGGCATCCTCCACCGTCGCGGCTGCGCCTTGGGAATCCGCGTTTTCATGGTCGACCTGTAACGGCTTCCACTCGGTAACCAGTCCCGCTAGTCATAAGACTCAGCTAGCAAATCCATCATCCAGCTGGGCTGGCGGTTCGGCCAACAGCTTTGGGGTGATTGGCGCTGAAGCCAAGGCGCGCAGATTCAATCGTCAATACCCATCCTCGGTCAGTCCCCCACAGTCGGATCGCTCCAACTCACCCGCACACTGTAGGAAACAATCGATCGGGACCAAGATGGAGGTCAAGCCAGCCTTCAGACGGTGGACCCGTCAGGTCTTGGAGCAAACGTTGCTCTCCCCTCAAGTCTTGATCCTTGCACTCTACTATATCGACTCAGTCGCTGGAACCGACGTCTTTGGGGATGCCAATGGGAAGATGTCGCTCCTGCCCTACAAGATGCTCTTGGCCGCCTTGGTTGTTGCCAACAAGACTCTGGATGATCACAGCTATAGGAACTCGGTCAGTAGTTTTATGACCAACCACTGCCTTCCTCTCATGTCAACCCAACTAATATCTGTTTTCGCATTCCCCAGACTTTCGCAAATGTATCGAGCATGACGAATGCCGAGGTGAATGCGATCGAGGTTGCCCTATTGAAAGCGTTGAAGTTCGATGTGGCACCTTCGTGTGAGCAATGGACGAACTGGCTCAAGGAAGTAATTGCGGCGGGCGAGCGGAGCGGTCTGCTCTTGCCCGAGCTAGGTCCGCCCTCGCCGATCTCGCCTCTCTCGACCCCACAGTTTAGTGGCCATCCAGAGGAGCGGTCTTCTCAACCGCATTTTGAGCCCAGCTACCCAGCCCAACACGGCTCGATCTTCGATCAAGCACCGACGCCCGAATTCCATTGGCACCCCTCGCAGGACCCCCGTGGATCTAGCGTGCTCAACCATGGAAAGCCCTTTGCCCCCGCTCCAATCGAGGCCATGAACAACGAGCTCCGCTTCCATCCAGCTCCCGTTGCCCCCCTCGACTCTCATCGCGAGTTCATTGGCTCATCGGCATTCGCCTCCGAGTTTACTTCCTCTTATCACCACCATGGAAGCTATTTCCCTCGGACCTATAGCTCTACTTACAGCTCCCAATGAACGCTGAGAGCTGCTGAGCTGCGCTCCCCTGCCTATATATATATAAATATATTTATATATGTATATGAGTTGTTGTTCTCTTTGGCCAGCTTCAAAGATCTCACTCATCCGCTTTCTATTTTTCGTCTCTCCTCGATAATGGTCACCACTCTTCTTGTGACATCGATCGGTCGTAACCGGGCGAAGGAAAAGAGCAACGCCCTCATGGACATGCTCGATTCCTTTTTTTTTTACGTCCGTTTGTCGCGCTTAGGGATCCCTCGTTCGTGGCCTTCGCTTCCTCGTTTCTGAGCCTCCTTCACTTCACTCCGCTCTGCTCTCCTTCTATCAACTCGTTTTTTTTTCTTCACACCCTCTCTTGGGCCCTTCGCTATCCGTCGATCTGAGACTCTTAGATATAGACACACCTTCTTTTCTCTCGCCCCCCCCCATCTTATGTTCATTTTCATTTAGTTTTATCATTTTGAAATCAGTTTACATTTCAACCCTTCCCCCCCCCCCCTCTTGCCCTTTGCTAGCACATCCTTCACCAACTAAATCAAAACAATCACAAAAAAAATATGAAAAGAAATCCATCTACTCCACCCCCCCAAAAAAAAATATATTTAACTATTACTTAAATTTCTTTAGTTTAATCTCTCCCTCTCCCCCTCCCTTCTTACAGACAATACACGAAAAAAAGAAGTTTAGGAAGCCCTTATATGAAAAACACCCCTTAAAGAAAGAAAGAAAAGATGAAGATGAAGATGAAGATGACTTGACTTTAATTTGGGCGCTCTTTTCACCTGTGCCCTCCGTTGATTCCATCACAATTGCCTCCTCCTAAATGCCCGGTTAAGATTCCCTCCCTTCCCCGCCTTTTCCTAAGTTTAGGTTTAGGTTTTTTTTTGGCAGGTCTTCATATAGAGTTTTCAATGATCTTAAGAAGGATATCGGTTCCTTTTGAAGTGGGATGGGGGGTGGGGACATGTTGTTTTGTATCTGTATGTTTTTTTTGGTGGCCGAAGGACCGTGCCAGAGGCCAACTATGATATATCATGATATTTATTGAATAGGACGAGAGTCTGCAGAGGTGGTGGGGAAAGTTAAGGTAGGACTAACGATTTGAATCGGTGAGAAAAAAAAGG